ATCTTCCTGATGTACTCAAGGACGTTTGTTGTCTAATTCTGGATTGTGATTCCAACACTCCCAAGTCACCAGTTTCCTACCTTCCATTTAGCGTACAGTCTGAGGATGCTGGATTTGAGGTGTGTGGCGGAGAGAAGGAACATCAGAAGCTGGAGAAGTACCAAGGGTTGAGAGAAAAGCTGGAGAAGATGTGGAGTGTGAAGGTAAAAGTGGTCCCAGTGGTAATTAGAGCACTTGTTAGGTGAGAGGCCCCAGCAGATCCCAGGAACAACATCTGTGATCTCTCTCCAGAAGAGTGCAGTAGGAGTACATTAAAAAAACTTCCCCTCTCGCTTCTGCGGGCGGTCTGTCCTTCAAGCTCGGGTCCTCTACCAGAGGCCTGGGAGCCTCCTTAGAATAACATAGGACAGAATCTAATATAAGACGGTACTTCTAGCGTGCCTCTTAAAGAGCCCATGTAGATTATGTTGTGTGGGGAAAACAAGTAGAGAGCGGAGAATAATAATTAATGACGTAAGATTTGTTTTCATTGTGAAGAACATAATATTTGCTGTAATGTTTATATTATATTTGATAAAAAACAAAAAATAACACCTTCATATAATACTAAGATTTTTCATAGGAAAAATGCTCTAGTCCTTAACAGGTTGTAAAATCAGATAAATACACCGTCAGATGAATAGCAAGATATGACAGATTACAATTTGTCATTATTAATCTAACGATAAATAAAGCCTAAATTTTCAAAGCGGTAAACCCCCAAACATACGCCATCATTTAGTTGTTTGTGCAACCACTTTTGGCAGTAGTAACTTGAAGCAATCCTTTTCTGTATATTTTTTTCTGTGTTAACTTTAGCTGTCAAACACATGGCCTCTCATTTGACTGTAATTGGAAATAATTCAACTGAATTTCAGGAGCGAGCCCACGCCCCCATACACCCAAAACACTGCAAGCTGTTCGTTCTCGTTGTAGTGCCTCACCCTCCCTCCTTTTTTTCAGTTCCCTTGCTTCCCATTAGTACAAACAGATCTGCATAAAGAACATAGATCTTTACAGGCTTTCTAAATCTAGACTATGAACTACATTTATTGGTAAAAGTACATTCACGGTTCTGTATAATTAAGTTTGCATTCATGAGGTCAGTAGGATGTGAAGCAGTTATACTGCACAGGACAACCTATTATGACAAGGCAATGGCAGGGTCATGTACTAAAATATCTACTATAATTTTTACACAAAGTCCCAGCCATTATGCTTCAGCAATAACCAGCATTCTGTCAGGAGCAACACAAACTAATGTATGAAAAACAAGCAGTGAAGTGCTATGATTCCTTTGTAGATGCATTGCTTATTCCTCCTCATTTAAAATTCCAGTGTTCGTCACTCAGGCAGGGGCGGACCCAGAGAAATTTTCTTAGGGTG